AAGCTGAAAGAGGAGGTGGTGCTCCTCTGTCCGGTGAACATCCCTGCTGGTGCGGCGAATGGGAGAAGCAGTGAGTGCAGTGCAGCGCCCACTGAGACGCCACGGTGGAGATCCAGCCGATGGGGCTGGGCGCGCTCTGCAACGCCTGGCGGATCTGGCTCAGGCCGACCGAGTGCGTGCGGGGAGGTGGTGCGTGCGCCTCCCTCCACCGGCGACGGTCATCTCCGAGTCTCCGACGACGGAACCAGCGCCGAAGCCGGAAGAAGAAGAAACAGGGAAGAGAGAAGCCGCCGCATCCTCAAAAGTCATCAAGCGAATTGCTACCCACCCGGCGTCCGGCGCGTACTATAGGCAGGACCGCCTCCTGCAGGAATAGGGGAACACCGCCCCCGGCCGCGAGCCATAGCTCCAAGCACCGCGAGGACCGCCTCCTGCTGGGGCGCTCTGCAGCGCCTGCGGGGATCTGGTTCAAACCGGCCGGGCGCTGCGTGAGGCGGTGCACGTGCACCTCCCTCCGCCAGCGACGGTCATCTCCGGAGTTAGTTACTAGATTCGCTTCCTAGCCTTCGCCATAATAATTTAAACTGAGCCAGTAATGCATGGCGTGATGGTATGCAGTATAGCATATACTTGGCATATGCGTATTTGTCTGAAATTCTGCATCTCATGGCTTAATTCGTTTATGGAACTCTCTTATTTGTGCACCATAATTTTTGCTTATGCATTAAAACACATGCATGCGTGCAAACAAATGGTGTATATATGTTGAGAGAAACACCTCACCATCAGACTTTTCGACTCGGAAAGATAATTGTGTGTGCCATGCAGATATGGTGAATCACTGACTTCATAATCATTTAAATAGTCTATACACATAATAAAGTCAAACGAGGGGGCCAGGAGTTTGTGTAGTGGTAGAAAACACTATGCCGATCTCAAACCAAGAGACAGTATACTACGCTACACACACATAAACATGAGCAATACATTCAGATTTATTTGATTGAACATCAGTAAAAAAATATTTGCATATAATTTATATAAAAAATTTTCTCTCAGTCCTCCTACTAATAAAATAATTGTAAAAAGCAAATACACCCACATGTTATTACTTGTTACACCCTGAACCGTGGGGCCCACCTGGAATATTCTCATAGAGCATATCCGTCTCATTACGTCTTCTCCCTCCCCAGTCCCCTCTGCCATGCTTCCACTGCTTGTTGCCCGGTACTAGGGGTTTACTTGCCAATCTCCACCACTAATGGAGGCTGTGGTGTTACCGAGTGCCTGACAATTACCGATGTCAAAAGTGGGGCACTGGGAAAAAAAGTTCTACGAAAGCCAACTTTCGAAAAACATAAACACCCGGTAGTAAATCCGCTTTCTGGAGTGAAGCCACACTGGGTATATTCGACACTTACTAAGAAGCTACAAGTTCTGGGGAAGCGGGGTGCACTCTGTATTAAGCGGTCTACTTTCAGGTATTAACGTACGTGCGTCACCGTACAACAAACGTGCCGGATTTGACGTCATAGGGCATGACATGTTCTGCAGAGTGTTGCCAATCGCACGCCGCAGCAGAGCATGAAAATTTTTACGAGAGTGTTGGGCCAATACGCCGACAGAACACCTATCTTTTAATTGAGGTGTATTGGCCTAACGCTTTGCAAAATTCAACAAATTCTTGTTTTCCCCTTCTTTTTTCTTATCCACATATGATATTTAGTACTCCATTCCAAAATATGGTGTTTATTTCGATTTATTTACTATTTCACAAAATTTTCATTCTTTATGAAAGTTAGGAACATATCGTGTGAATTTAATTGTAATAATTAAAAATCGAACTCGATAAATCACAAGATTGGAAGAATTAACATTGTGACATACATCTATGTTATGCCGAAAAATTTCATACTTGGAAGTATTTTTATATTGTTTACTTGAACAGTACATCTACAAAGAGACGCTTGTTACACAATGGCGAGTGGGATTTACTATTAAGAGTGAAATTCAACATTATGATTTGAACTTGGAATTTTTAGAATGGTAAATAGATGACATAAATAGTTCATGTGAAAGTTTGGTGAATTTTAAGTTAAATTGGCATTTTACTTTTTTGTTTTTGCATGAAATAATGAATATTTTCTGGTATGACCTCAAACACTCTGATAAAAGGTTAACCCAGACCACTATACCCTACGGTGGGCTGCCATGCTATATTTACGAGTCACCGTGGTCTGGGCGATAGGTAAACTCCAAACCCACATGTCATTGGGCTGCGGTGCCTTGAGTTTACAGTCTCGTACATCAAACCTTTCCTTAATGAAAGCATTCAACAAACCCGTTGCCTCTACTCAAATGCGTTCACAGAACACACACACAACACCGCCTGCCCTTATCCCCATGGCCCGCCTCCTCCCCTCACCACACGATCCGCCACGCCGCCAGGAGGCGGAGAAGAGAGAGAGGCGGAGACAGAAATGACCAACGCACATGCAGGGCCAGCAATCCCCTCGCCAAGCCTTCCTTGTGCCCTCCTGCTCCCGTTCAGGTGGTGAGGTGAGCCCCCAGCATGGCAGCGGCAATGACCTCTCCCCAGTATGACCTCCCCTTGTCATGCTCCCCTTGCTTGCGGTGGCGACAAAGGACCCTGCTCACTCGGCAGCGCGGTACCTGCCTATTGCCCTCTCCCCTCAAGTCTGGTGGGCGCCGTGATCGATGGAATGGAAATGGATGGATTAACTTCGCTAAACCATTTTTAGTGACGTATTGACGTAAACTGATTCAGGTTGACCATCAGCCAACTCCTAAAAGAAGAGATAAACTACCACTACACTTACAGAAAGCTAAGCTGAAATTGCACCATCACTTTTTCTGAAGCAGCTAGCTCCTGCTCCCACCTTCTCAAGACCTTTGTTTGTTGCTGTTCTTCACAAGCATTTCAATTCAGATCTGTGGGGATTAACAAATTCAATTGTTTCATAACATACTTGATGAGTAGCTCAGCCTATTCACCAAGTACAAAAGATAAGTTGATTTAAAATACCTTGAGGCTGCTTCCAAATAAATTAGATCTTTATCAAATCAAAGAAGTTCAGGCATTTTTTCTGGCAAAGAAGCTAGCGTGTATAGAAATGAGAAAAGAAGTTAGCTAAATTATGACCGAAAAAAGGCAGCGGACTAACAATTACAAAGCAGACGAATAAATCTGGCATGCAAGGAGCAAAGTGGAGTTGCCATGAAACTGGGTTAAAGGTAGATAATATTCATTGATTGGCATTATACAGTGTGGAACATTAGCATGCCAGGCCACTTTTACAAGCATGTGGTTATGATGTAAACAAAAGTAACAGCACAGTGGCCAGTTGCCCACCTATATAGCACGTGTTTGGATAACTAGAACAAGACTAGTACCTGGACACAATCAGTTTACTGGGAAGCACCCATATTTCTGACTAAAACCATACTTTGCAGTTAACCAGGTAAAGTTAGTCAGGACCAGATAACTCGTTTGAAAGCAGGGAAAATCAATCTAGCTCACCGACAACTCGTTTGAAAGCTGGGAAAAGCAGTCTAACTCACAATATCTTAACGATAACTCTAAACATAAACCCTTAGCAAGCTTTAGCCAAAACCTTGGTCAGATTTTCAGACATTTGCCATTGACTTTCTGAAACCTTTGAAGTACACAAGCAAACCCTTGACCACCACCTCCCCAGGACTGTAACTTGCATGTGAGATATTCTCAAAGAAAATGGTTCAAGGTCAACAAATACATGCCTGAATCTGGTTGGACTGCTATAACTGTAATTCTGTAAACTTAAAGCAAGCTTTGTATAGGCACATTTAATACAAGCTGATATGGTAAGATCTTAGTATCTAACTGTTACCAAAGAATCCATTGACCGCTTAAGGCAATTGACATATCAATATGGACATATGGTGACAATTGACCTTTGGGGTATTTAGAGTATCCTAGCATTGTTGTCTGATTGTATCAGTTTTGTCAATTCTAGAGATAAACAGTTACTAATCTTTTTTTTACACTGAGCTACCATGTACCAAATAGATACTAAACACATGTAGCATGAGTCCATGACTACAACAAAATCATTTATACCCCCACTGTTTGTTTTTAGTAAGAGTATTAGAATTTGAAAAGAACTCTTTAGAGGTAATATTTTCACCACTAATCTCTTTACAATATAGCACCAAGTGCTACAATTGATGTCATCTTAAGAGATATTTGATACATTAATCCATGCAAATAACTTTTGTGCACTAAGTATGCATATAATTTGACTAATCGTTGGTCCAAATTATGAATAGAGTATAATACAAATGCTGGGAATCAACAAACAACAACAACAACAACAAAAAAGCCTTTTAGCCCCAAGCAAGTTGGAGGCAGAGTTAAAACCCAACATGAGTCACCAAAGGAAAAGAAAGAGAATGGAAATACATAGCCATATGGGGCATCAATAATAGTGATATAATCAGGGATCTAAGACTTCTCATGGATAAGGACTAATGAAGCTTATTAAATATAGCGAGTCATAAGTCTGATTAGCACCACATCAGCATGTAGAAGGGCTAGTGGCACTGGAGTACAATCTTGTGTGCTCTGCCATATTAGGGAAGAGAGGCTAGGGGCACACTAATGTTCATATCTAACAAAAGCTGATCATGAAGTATGTAACATGTGTTCAGTAGTAAAGACCTGTAAGGTTTAACTGATTAAGCATGTGGCAACAGTACATTTATAACAAATCTCTTGCATAAATAATGCATCAGCGTCATTTTATTATTTCTAGCTCGAGTATCCGACAGTTTAAGAAGGCTGTCTCTGTTCAATCAATCCACAGACAAGGGCATCACGGAAAGTTCTCAGAGAAAAGGCATTGCATGTGTCTTCTCTGCAGTTATTTAATAGGACTTGCTTCTATGCTTCACCCGTTTAATGCGAGTCACACAAATCTCGAAGCACTCCAAGGGGTGAATCATTCAAATTCACTCTTGACTTTGTGCTTTAGGTTGGTGGAACTCAGAGGTGAAGCATAGAAGCACCTTCCTAAAATACCTCGTGCTGTCCCTTGATTTAGTGCATTCCCCAGTGTGAGAATGGTCTGCATTATCTGTCGCTTCAGAGACTCTTTGACCTGCATAAATCAAGCCATTAAGCCAGCATCGGTATAACATATCTCAATATTGTAACAAGTATTGCCATACCTCCTTTGTTGCATCGTTTATGGTGGTTAGGTTAGTTCTTAGGTCATCTACCTGCGAAAAGGTCAATTATTAGAATCACATCCAGCGTGCACGGGCTTTGTAAATAAATTTGTATACTACTGCTACTACTAAACCACCTAGCGAAAGTAGGTAGGTGCTGGTGTGGTGTGTCGATTAGCTACTAGTGTTGCTGCTTTATTATCTGCATTATTATATAAGACGGGGCACTAGAGAAAGAAAAGATTTAACTGTTTGCTGTCTTTGTTAGACTGTATTTTCCTGCACTAATTGGAACATAAACCTTTAGGTGATGAACAAAAGCTTTACCTATAGAAAGGTGTTGTTAGGATACACATAGATATTCCACATATATATTACTAGTTTTTAGAGTTCGAGGGCGTGTACATTTGTGGCCAACAACCCACAAGTTTAATATCTCTCATACCGTTACCAAACCAAAGACCGTCTTAAGGCGTATATTGTGTACAAGGTATCGCCGCATGGTAAATAGCCGTCCCAAGCGATGATGATTATAACATCGATGCAAACACATATGACGGAGTTCTTTCAAGAAGAAGGATTAGAAGGAGTTTTAGATTGTCTTAGATGTAGATCTATGATGGAAGTAGACAATGATCGATCATTGTTGGCCAGGGGATGATGGAAGAGGAGGTTCTAGCGAAGAGGACTTGTTATGCTTGAGCAACACCATTGAGCGATGTAAGCTAGTGATGAGACTTTGAGAGGCGATCATAATTACGTCGACAATAGCGATGATGAGATTTTGGCCCACCTATCGATGATCTTGATGATTATTTCTAGTACATGTAAGATCTGTAGTACTTATGGCAATTTTATACATGTATGATACATTTACTTATTTTGCATCTCTTTTATACATGTATGATATATTTACTTATGCATCTCTTTTATACATGTATGATACATTTACTTATTTTGCATCTCTTTTATACATGTATGATACATTTACTTTTGTATATCGTCTTGATAGTTTATTCCTTTTGTTGCGGGTGATTGATGGTGGGCGTGGAATCGGAAGCTTAGGTCATTATATTATTATGGCTGGGTGGCGAGGTCCGCCAGGTGGAGGCGTGCCTGGTGGTGGAGGGCGTGCCGGGAGGAGGAGGAGGGCGGCGGCGGGGCGTGCCTAGGGAGGTGGAGCCTAGGATGGAGGAGGAGCCAGGGTGGAGGAGGAGGGCGGCGATGTCGAGGCGTGAGCCGACACCTCCTCTGTTCACGAGATTCACGAGTCATGACCACGGAGGAGGATGAGGAGGGAGGAGACCAGGGAGGAGATAAGCGGAGGCGGTGGAGGAGGCACGGAGGAGGATGCTTCGAGTGGGTTGGCCTTGAGAGATGCCGACTTGGTGGCGAGAGAAAATGGGGTGCCTGGTTTGGCTGCACGAGGCGTCGTGGCCTC